TCATTATTCCGCAGCATTCCAGATCGACGGCTACTGGATGCACTACGACGGCCTGCGCAGCGACAACCTGGTGCTTCTGAACAAACCGCCCGAGTTCCTGCTGCTGTCCTCGCTCGTCTACATCAGGACCTCAGAGCCATGAACACACGCCAATATTCCCTTTGAAGGGGTCATCGGATGCTCATTTTCCACTGATATGATTCTTCAGGGTCTTAATGAAAAGTCTATAACATACTTTAGTTAAAATTTCTCAATGGTAGTGTAAAAAACACCCTTTTTACCCTGTCAAAATCAGCTTTGTTTTCAGCACGCGGTTCTAGTCCATGTTGCTTTAAATGCTAATGAGCTCTGCTGACCCCGCCCCTCTCATCCGCTCTCATGATACGGTTTACTTCAGCCACGGAACTTGCTAACTAGCACGTTATTAGGAAAGGCGATTTGCAAAGATTCATTAAAAACCCTTATACTCGCTTCTACTGTAGATGGATCACGAATGATTCGCGCGAACATAGACGCATTTATGTAGATCGGCACATTCCTTTCAAAACGAAAGTAAGGTTAATCCTCTGCGTCTTCAGCGGCTCAGATGTCTGGAGTAAATGACGACTGCTATGTTCATTATTACAGAACACCTCAATCGCTTAATCGGAGACATTCTTGTCTTCCACCGCACCGGAGTCGACACAATGGCGGACTGATGACAGCTCACTCAGGGCGGAGCTAAGGTAAAATGGACTTGTCAATCAACTATCGTGGGAGGGGCCTGTGCAGAACTACGTCATTCTGACAGGAAGCTCAGAACAGCCTGATTTGAGAAAGGGGATTTTTTTTAAAAACACTGGGTGGATTTTTATAATTGTAGGGTGGATGTGTACACACACTTATGTTCAAACAACTTGTAAAGTGAATTTTGGATCCGATGACCTCTTTAAAAGTGAACTCTTGAACTTCTGATGACACGGTATATTTTTGTGCGTTCCAGTGATGTTTTATACTCCTCTAAATGATTGACTTTTGCAATTTTGTAAGTGATTCTCTGGTGTTTTCTGCTGCTTGGAATCCAAGAGTCTGTGATGGTGGACTATAATAGTTCTGGGTGCTTCGACTGACTGTGGATCAGTGCGTGACGGACAGAAGCGTCTTTCTAAACATTCATGCAGACTGAAGATCTAATGATTCATAGAAACTGCCTCCTACAGAAAGTCACTTTTTAATCTTTTTAACTTTTATTATTGTTGGTTTACGGTTCTTTACTACCTGCACTCATCATGACTAGATGGATTACTAGGTTTAGTTGAGGATTCGTTTACTGAAGCATGGAACATTATTACAGATGTGGTATAAATCAATGTGCATTCATACTTTTATAACCAATATCCAATATTAGTCAGATATTGTATCTGCTGTCACTGCAAATAAAACTTTCTATGTTTGTAAGCATGTGTCTGTGTGTTAAAGAGCCTGTTTAATGAAATCAGGATCGATTATCCAATGGATGCTCTGCAAGTGAATGGGTGCCGTCAGAATGAGAGTCCAAACAGCTGATAAAAACATCACAATAATCCACAAGTAATCCACAGCACTCCAGTCCATCAGTTAACATCTGGAGAAGACAAAAGCTGAAACAAATCCAGCATTAAGACGTTTTTAACTAAAATACATTGAGTCCATAATCCATAATAACTCTTCCTCCAGTGAAAAAGCCTATCTTCTGTTGTCTCTCACATCAAAATCCAGCCACATATTTGTTTAGAGCTGTTTAAACGCTGCTTGATCTGTGCAGATTTCTCTCCTGATTCACACCAGAACACTGACTCACTGGAGGAAGTGTTATGCATTATGAACTCTATGGTATTTTAGTTAAAAACGTCTTAATGCTGGATTTGTTTCAGCTTTTGTCTTCTCCATGAGACCCTGATGCAATGCTACATTTCTACAAACCTGATGAAGACACAAACTCATCCTGATCTGGGATGATCTGAGGGTGAGCACATTTACAGTACATTTTCATTTTCAGATGAACTATACCTTTGAGCATGAAGCAGAAACACGCCGGACTCCTGCAGAATCATTTCCAGGCCTTTATTTCTTGACTGATCGAGCTGCGACACACACAAATAAACTGGCAGAAGTACGCTATGCTCTCAATGCTTTGTTAAAATGTGAAAAATAAATACTGCGTTTGTAGCTAAGGTTATCGGTTTAGTTCCAGTAACAATCCACAGGTTTATAAAAATGCACTCCATTTCAAACACAAGCCAGACGGACGGAAAAAGAAAATGTGGCATCATCATCATCATCATCAGGAAAAATGATCAAAAGTTTAAGACAGTGAGGGAGTCGTTCTGGACTGATTCCGATTCCCTCGTGAGACGAGCACTTCGGTGAGAGCGGCGATTCAGACACAAACACAAACATCACCCAATGCCTTCGTTTGACATTTTACACGTATGGCCTCAAGGATCCCACAGGAATAAACCAGAAGCAGCGTTCACGGTCACGCCAGCGTGATTTCAGCTTCTCACCATCATCTGACCGCCGTTAAACAGACCGATGGATCAGAAACTCTCGGATCAACATCAACACGCTTCAGGAGAGAAAAACCACACACGATCATCTGCTGCAGATTCAGTGAATGACGGTGATGGACATTCATGGATGCAAGGAAATATATCTTATTGCTAATCAAACACGGATGCTTCTGATGAGCGTTGGTTCCCTTTGTGCCTCTGGATCTGCACTGAAACACTAAAAATCATGTTCTGGACTGAGAGACATCACGCTTTTCATGTCCAATCAATCCAAAACACGCTTCTAAAAGCAGTTCAGATCCAAAATCAACACCAAAAGTGCTGAAATCCAGAATAACGAGCAACATAATGAAACAAAGCAGCCGTTCAGGTCAGTCACAGGATTCCCAAAACACCTTGGCAATTGATGATGAGTTGAAGAAAAAGTCTTATTGCCTCAACGGAACTCAAAGGTCATATTTACACAGTAGAAAACGGTTTGGTAAGTGCACAGCGCCAGAATCTCGAGAGACGCTGCATCTGTGTGAAGACGAGTGCGTGAAGGTTTGGCACCATGTGACCGCTGTCTGACGTCACTCACGCCACACTCCACTCAAACCAGCCACGTTACTGTGATGCTTCATCTGAACGCCAACAAACAAACGCCACAGGAACAGGAAATCATGATTCACACTATGACAGAACTAAAACAACACATCCTGAAGAGGAAATTAGCACCAGTCAGTATGACACACACACACTCACACACACACACACACACTCACGCTCGCTCACTCACACACACTCTCACACACACTCTCTCACACACGCTCACGCTCGCTCACGCTCGCTCACTCACACACACTCACACACACTCACACCCACTCTCAC